AACTGGGCAGAGTGGATAACTATCAAATTTCTGGAGTATAGTAAGGCAGAGTATTGTGCCAAGATCAGCTGCACAAGACTCAGTTTAAAGCAACTAACTGGACTAAAGTCTTTTGTAATAATGAATTTGAGTCAGCTGGTGAAGTAGTAGAAGTAATTGAATTCGAGTGCTTGCTTGCAAGGCAAGAAAATAGGTGTGTATGTTTGCAGGTAAATGAGGAGAGCCTTGTGAGCAAAAATGAGGTGCAGCTATGAGATCAGTTTAAAATGAAGTAATGAAGGTCCAAAACAATTCAGCAGTTACTGAACCGTATGCAGGAAGTTCTTCAGTTTAGTTGCATTTAAAGTCTCAACTCTGTGTTGTATACTTGTATATTTAGAATGTTGCTTCTACCTCAGCTGGCTAGACTGTCACAGATATAGCTGATCACATAAATTAATGTTACCTACATTGAAGTGAAGGAATACAAATCTAAAGTCTCAGACTTACCATTTTCTGATAAGCATGCTGAACTCTAGGTTCTGGCTGGCAAGATGTGCAAATGTTCTGAACTTACAAGGCATATAAACATCCTCGAATCTCATCCTGCTTCCCCCTCTTTTTCCTGGTGCTGACTTCAGGGCAGTAAGTCTTTGCAATTCTGAGAAGCTGTAGCAGCATTAAGGCAGTATTTTATGGGCCAAGGTACGAAAGAGAAAGCATGCCAACCAGTGTACTTCAAGCAGATAGCAAGCGTTATAATGGAGTATTACAGGCAGAGGTATGAGGCATATCCTTAAACATTCAGGAAACTGGAGTGTAAGAGCTTGAAAAAGTCTTGTGCTACCAAGACTCTTGCAAAGGACTTAAAAACCATAAAAAACAAACAACCAAGAAAATGCCAGACAAAACAAAAGTTGTAGAGCTCATCCAAGTAGATTAAGGAAGCTCTCTTCTTGTGAAAGCATTCAGTTCCATTTTACAGGGGTTGTTACTGGTTTGCCTTGTTACACTGTTAGTGGCCCTAGAGCCTGTTGGAGTGCTTCGGTTCTCTCATTCTCTATTCTCTGTAGCCTGCATCGCAGTTCGCAGTATCCTTCAGGGAGTGCTTTTGGGCGTCAAGTAGAAGCTGATACAGGCTTGTTCTGTAGTTGTCCGTTTCCTCCATTTGTTTCACAGATATGGAAAAGTGTCAGTCACTTCTTGTTGGCTTTTCCACGAGAAGAAAGGTAAAGGCTTCACTGCAAGCTGACAGGTGGTTTTTGTACCTTGTGTTCCTGTGGAACCTCGCCAAGTAATACGTTGGCTGTACATTAGCTGGAGTGTTTGTAATAGGTATGTTAAGTCTTCAGAAATTAATTCTAGTTGCTGTCCTGAATAGTGATGAAGACAACTGTTAATGGTAATGAAATAGTATTCTTGAGTCTTGGAAAACACTATGCGTGGTAATAACAGTTAGATGCCAGTGCTGTTAAATGTCTTCAGAAGATACATTGTGGGCTTACTTAAAATGCTGACTCTTAATATTCATCCTCAGTCAAAAGAGTCTGCTTATGAGGAGAGCATCTGCAGACCAGTGCTTTGGCATCATTACAACTAGGAATATGGGGTTGTGAAACATTAACTAAAATGGCTTGTTTACAGAAAACTTTATGCTAGAAGAGGACCTGAACTTAAAATTCTTACATCGCAAAGCCTGTCAACTGAAGCGTGGAGGTCTGATGTACAGTTGTAGCACTTTCTTGTTGTAGATGTGGGGTGAATGCTCAATGCAGTTGAGGAAATAGTCTAAAAATGTGACAGGAGTGCACCTGGTGCATTCTGCTAATCTGCTGGGTTGTGCATCTCCTTTGAATTTAGGTATCTGAAGAGGGGGAAGAATAGGCCAAATGCTGGGATTGAGGCCTGCAGACGGAGGGACAAGTCTGAGAACAGTTCAAATTTAGGAACCTCAGGGCTCTGTTTGTCATTCTAGCATGTGAAAGACACAGTTGTGACCCACTAAAAAGAATTCCCTACTGAACTAACTGGACACATGGTATTGTGTGGCTTCAGATACTTGCAGTGAGACAAGTTAATGTTCTGATGTTAAAGGTCAGTCAAATCATGAAACAGCATTGCATTTAAAGGCAAATGGGGAGTTGTATGGTAACACATTACACAATAAGAAACACAGTTAAGTTGAGAGGTTTTGGTATAGAAGTTAACTCTGGACATGATCTTCACAAATGCCTTACAGCATACGACAACTGCCATTTTATTCTTCTATGTAGCTGAAAATATCATGTGTATGACAACACACTGTGCTGTGTAACTTCTAAGCACAGACTGCTCAATGTGGCTGGCTGACCCAGACAAATCAACATTAAACTGAAGTTTCCCTAGACAGCACCAGGATTGCCCATGTGATGTTTTCTTCAGCTAACTCTTGCAATGTTTTGTGGAGGAGCCCACATACTGGTGCGAGGTGAGAAGGCGTGTGGCTGGCCTAGCAGACCTCGAGAGTGAGCACTGCTCCTTGCAGAATGCAACCAGCTGGCGTACATGTTCTTCATAGTATGAGTTGATGCAGTAGATGTATGGCACCCATTTCATAGTATGACTTACCAATTTGGCATTAATAGCCAAGTTCAACCTTGGCTGACCTTTGTACAGGAGGGCACACTACTCCATCTTCTCAGAAAAGGCACAAAACCTGTATCCTTGTTGATGTTTATGAAGAGGCATTTTTTTTCACTTGATGTTTGAACACAAATAAATAAAGCGAGAATGCACAACAGCATTTGGCACTGTGGTAGACTTCAGCTAGATCCCCCAGGTAGTGCGGGAACCGTGGTCAGCTTTCAGCCTGGTTAACACGAGGCTCATTGTCTTGCATCTGCGGTGCACTCTGCAGAGAATGCTACCACTTAATCACCTCCTAAACCTGACTAATCTGACTGTACCAGCAAGCTGGCATAATTTTCAGCTATAGCAGGCTTTTTCTGTTCCGTTGTAAAACTTCTTGTGCTCTAAAGTACAAGAAGTTGTAGACTGAAGGTGTCATGTATTACTTAAATACTTTAAACCTTTCTGTTAGTGGGAATATTTACTATGATTACAGAATCACAGAATGGTAGGGGTTGGAAGGGACCTCTGTGGGTCATCTAGTCCAACCCCCCTGCCGAAGCAGGGTCACCTACAGCAGGCTGCAGAGGACCTTGTCCAGGTGGGTCTTGAATATCTCCAGAGAAGGAGACTCCACAACCTCCCTGGGCAGCAGATTAAGGAGTTACAAGAGAAATAATTATGAAGGAAAACTCAGCTTCTGAGGAGTAGGGTTTACAGCTTTCTCGATTTCCCAGTCATCAAGACTAATAGCTACAAGGTTCATTGAACAACTGTATTTTGTGGGATTGTGTACTTTGTGCTCTTCTCATATTTTTTCAAGTTCCTAAGCATAAGGTAGGAAAAAACCAAGGTAAAGACAATGATTTGCTAATTCTACTTTCTGCTTTTGCTGTTTATTGCTCTGTTGGACCTCTTAGTGGGAAGAACATGAAGAACTTTCACAAGGTACTTTTGACTCCTGTGATGTGGGGATTAGGATGGGAAGCAATTCTTCTGCCTAATTTATATTTTTTATTTGATTCCTGGAGTTTATTTAAAGTATTTCTGGCATGCGAACCAGGGGCTTTTAGTACTAGATTGTGTCCTTACAGTGTAACAGGACTGAATGTGAGCTGGCAAAATCCTGAGCACTGATACTTTTTTTTATTATTATTATTTTTTTTTTTTGGTGCTGTGCGGGGGTGTTGATGATATACATGTTTCTTTTGGCATTGTACTGGCTTTACTGACAATGCCAGGTCTTGAGAGTTGCTGTATCGGAGGCATTCAGATTTTAACTGAGCCTTAGTTATCTGCAGCTGAAATGTTTTAAACATTTTCATAGCAGACTTCTTGCTTACTGTGCTATAGATACAATAGATGCTGAATAAGCATGTAGACTATTGTGTTCTTACACTTTGGTTATTTTCCTTCTTGTAGCTTTTTTCACCTACAAAAACCTTTTTTACCAGATTCCACACAATTAGAAACAGTAAAACTGGATTTGCTGGTTGTGGTCCTGTTGCTATGCTCTCTGTATAGAAATACCAATTTAGCACAGCATACAAAAGTTACCTCGCTTCACTGAGGAGCTAGGTGAGGCTTGATCTTGAAATACCTCTGTTTTCAAGGACAGTAGCTAGGTGTTATGGTAGCCTACCATAAATAACTACCAAAATAGTGTCTGTAGACCTCTAGCAGTCACAAAGCAATTCCAAAAGTGGTAATACAAAGCCATCATATTGATTATTTATTTTAAAAATAATTGTGTACACTCATTAATCCTTCTGTCTCAAACAGCTTTTCACACTAGGTGAACTCTCATGAGCAAGAACTTCTTGCTTATATAGCTAGATCTCTTTTCCTGAATTACTGTGCATCTTTCTTTATGCAAATGGAAGCTGCATAGACATGACTGGATAAAGAAGCTGTTTTAAAAGCACACAAGTTACTTCTGTAATCTTACAGGTACTGCTGCTTATTCCTGAAACTGGCATTGTCATCTACCACAATAAGAGTTAAAATACTTAAATACTGTTGCTTTCTGTCAGGCTTTGGGTTTCATTAGTTAGTGGGTTTTTTCTTAATGCTGACAAATACAGGTTCTCCAAAATGGCATTTGTCTTGTCTCCTTAAAATAATTGTAGAATTCTGCTAGAAGAGAAGCATGTCATCATAGAAAAGTTTGGATTGGAAGGGATCTTTAAAGGTCACCTGCATGCTATACATACTGAAAACTGGTTGCTTTGTATTGGGGATCTAAATGCTCTTGAGAACAATCTTGGTCCACATGCCTTTTAACTAAAAATTGTTTAAAGGTTTTTGTCTGAAGTTTTTGCTTAAACAATAGCATTTTACATTTGCCTCTTGAGACACGGCTGTCAGTCTTCATGCTATATGTCTTATGACTGTATCTCTCTCTTGTCTTTCAGTGAATGATAGTGTCTAGAAAGGGTATGTCCCTTCAGGAGAGAGGTGCCAATGTCCAACCAGCCTAATAACAATCCAGGGGGGTCACTGCGACGTTCACAGAGGAACACTGCTGGGGCCCAGCCGCAAGACGACGCAGTAGGAAGAAGGTATGTCTGTTACCTGTGAGTGTGTTTTAATACATAAAAGCAAAATCGATATGATTTAATTAGAGAATTAAGTTTTCCACCCTGCAATCCAAGCACTGAAACTTGTGTAAAATCTCTCTGCCCCTGAAATGCTATCTACTGTTACTGCATGGGGTGGAAACATGGCTAACTCACTATCATGCATATGCAGCTAGAATAGCAGTAGTAGATCTGTGGGGGAGAAAGTGTAACTGAGCTATATTCCACAACTCACAACTAGTAACAAATTATTTCTTTCTTGCTTTCCTCATAGTGAAAGTGGGGGGGGGGGGACAGAGGACCGGGGGACATGAATGGGGACTCTGGTGTGTGATATCTAGGAAAGTCTGTGTCCGTGTTGGAGAAGACTGAGTAACTGGCACCTCTCTTTTCCCTTGCACTGCGTTTTAATCCTGTGAAGCTTTTGAATAATTCAAGAACAAAAGGTTTGCCATCCTTTAATATGCTTTTACTAGTGAGCACGTGGACCAAGTTATATTTTTTCTGTAAGTGGCTGCCTCTACAATGCAGAACAAAGTCAGTCCTTGAAACTTTTCTGTGGATGCGAACTGTATAATTATTGCCATGTCCTTGGAGGAATTAAGAGTATTCATCTGGGTGAGTGAAGCCTGTGTAGATAAGTTTTCCTTTAATTGTGTTAAAATATTAGTCTAATGAAGAAAGGTTATGGTATCATGATGGCAGCATCAGTTTGTATTCTGCTTCCTCAGAGGTGTTACTGGTGCAGTTGTTTGAATATGTATATCTTAGGCTTGGGTTTTTTTTGGTGTAAGAATATTAAAATATTGCAGGTTAGTGGCACAAAATAAAAAGTTTTTTTGCTATGGAGGAATTGGGCTATAACATATAATGAAGATGAGATGTATTTCTTATTAGTCTAAAGTCTAAGAACAAGATCACTGTTGAATGGATGAAGGAGGCTACTAGGTGTTCTTCTAAGGAACCTTGGGAGGAGTAATTCAATCTGCAAAATGAAGCTTCACGTTTTCTAAACTACTCTCTTAAAAGCAGATGATAAACACAAGGCTTCTGTCCTGGCTTTCTGTAGCATAAGGAAGGGGAAGTTGTTGCCTTATGTAGCTTATTATTTTGCAAGCTACAATTGTTTTTGGAGAATACTCCTACTTTAACAGGCACGGTGAACCCTTCATTCCATTCTGTGTTATCTCTGTGTTTGAATGGGTGTTTAAGTTGGGTATTGCCCTACCAACTCTTCCTTTTACATTGAACTCGACCTGGGGTCAATAACCATCTCCCTAGAATAAAGAACTAGAGGCAAATTATTTGCGTGTGGGATGGGGGATTCTTCTTCAGATACCTACTGTTTATTCAGGTTTTTATAGCAGAATGTTAGGGAGAAGGTCTACACTGAGTCAGAAAAATGTAAAAATTTTTGGGGTAGCACTACTTTCTTACAAGAAAATTACTCATCCAGTGTCTTGGTTTATTGTGATCTGTTACTTATGCTATCACACAGTGATTCAAGATGCAACTTGAACTGGACTTCTTCCACCCCTCACCAAATTTGTGTCAGACTTCCCTGAGCAAGTGTATTGCACTCCTGAACTGTGTTAGACCTTTATTGGAACAGAAACTCTTTGCTTAAGGAAAGAGGATGGAAGCTTACAATTCTCTTGGAAAAAGTGGGCTCTTTAGAAGAGAACATCCCTCTGCCTTTCCATCTCTGAACAAGTATTTTTGGCTGGCAAAGATAAAATATAAAAAGGCCTGGATAAAGCATGGTGGTTAATGTAGTAAACTTTATAATGAATTCAGCTTCTCTTACTATCTTCTGTATCTCCTCTTTAGTAAGCTGCTGGGCAGAAATGGCTGTTGTACAAGGAACAATGTAAGACAAATCTGTTGAAAAATTTGTAGATGAAACAGAAAGAGCCAGGCTCTCGGATAACAGTCACTTTTTCTCTGGTTGCCTGTCTTTAGACACAAACCCTGGGACTCATCATTCCACACGTCTAGGGTGCAGTGGGATAGTATGTTCTAATTCTGCTGCTGAACAGTAGTACATAGGAGGGTCTAGAATTCATAACTTGATGTACCATTTTTGTTATGCCTTGCTGTACTCTGGTGATATATACTGCTTTGGCTGCTATATTAAAAACAAACAAACCCCTAAAACAAAAAAAAACCCACCCCTTTTCCCCCTAACCAAACACCCCTTTTTTTACATTAGTTTTGTTGGGACACTTGAGACACTAACTTATTTCCAGTCTTTCTTGCATTTGTAATCCGTAAAGTGAAACTCTGAAATTTCAGCTGTAAAATCATTTAACTAGAATGAACAAACTGCAGAAAGATCAGTTTCAAGAATATGCTTGTATTGTGCAAATAACTGTGAACTTAAGGTGTGTCTGTTAGTATTTTAGTTGGAGCTGGGAATGTTCCTTTGAAGTAAATCGGTCATCTTCACCTGCTGTGCTTTGGCTAATGTCATCGAATGGTCTTGGAGCACTTGAATTGCAATCTGTTTGAATGAAACTGAACTGGAAGTTGTGCTCTTGGAGAGCAGTTCATTCATCCTGGTCACTTGTGGTTGTAATCTGGTCTGCTTTGAAGTAGAAATCATTGAAATGCATAGATGGTGGACCTTCGTCCTTAGTGGCATGTATCTTGCTTTACAGAATTTTTCTTTTGTTGATCTGCACTACTTGTTGGTATAGTTGTACAGAGAATATATTCAGCCACTCTTAGATCCATGTGTTTCTTGAAAAAAAAAAATACAGCCCCCCCCTCCCCCCCCGGCAAACCCCACACAAAGCGAAAAAACTAGTATTGCAGAGAGAATTAAACAGTTAGGTGAGTCTGTAGGGGGTTGTTGCTTAACACCTAAAATTAGCCACTAAGTTTATAAGCAAACTTAAGGGCCACACCTTCTAAAGTGTTGGAGAAGGTTATTTCACTTTGGTCATAGATGTGCAATCATAACCCTTCAAGCAAGGACAAGTTTTGATAGTGTCTGAACTTGTGTCCTTGATTACATTTCTGCTTTGTATAAATAGTTTTCTACATGCCAGAAATGAATCTGCTTCTTTCTTCAAGCTTTCTTGTGGCTAAGGTGCATGCACTTTCAAAATACAAATCGGGTGCCAAAAACTTGGGAGAGTGTGTGCAGTTTGTCACTTGTACTGTGATTTCAGACTTTGAGGTGAAGTCCACTAATCTAATGTAAGCCAGTGGTTGTGTAGCCATGGGTAGTATAGCCAAATGGCTTTATAATAGCCTTAACTTTGCCTCTGTCTCTTGTGCTCTGACTGGAGTGAACACTGCGATAGGAGGAAGGTGTTAAAAAGGAGAGAGGCTGGAGAATTATATCACTTCCAAGCTGAAATGCTAATGCGTATCTTTCTGTAGTATTTGATCCTTTCGCAGCTTAAAGGTCTTTTGTTAAAACTTTATCAGTTTAATTTGCTGAGCAGTTACTCTTCACTGCTATGAAGACTTCGGAAATTCCAAACTCCTCCAAACTCCTCTCTGGTCTAGTATGGAAAACAAATGCAGAACCTTCCTCCTGTGACGTCTAATACTGGCCGATTTGGCCGACAGTGCAAACCCATTTTCCTGTGGATTGGGCTTATTTGCTGTTACCCTAATAACATGGATACTTGCAGTCAAAATGAATGGGGGAAGCCTGTGATGTGCTCTGCTGGAGTTTTGCTAGCAGTTTCACACTCAACGCAGTAACTTAATAGGAGCTTTGAGTGTTTGATTTTTACAGTTGCATTTGTTTAAAAAACAAACCAACCAACAATGATGCTAGGCTCGCAGACAGTGCAGAAAGATTGTTGCAGCACAAGTTGGAAGTGAACTTAGCTTCTAGGATGTGTGCTTTTCTCTGAAAGAAGCAAAGGATCTGTATTTGAAAACATGTATAAACTGGTGAACTGTTTTGTTCCCCCCCTGCCTATGAACATAATCAAACTGTCCTTGGAGAAGTTGGACTAATGTGACTCTTCACTTTCTGTTGTCAGTAGTGATGTTGAAGTACCTTTTGTGCTTTGGATGACTTTGTGCTCTTATGGATATTATAGTTCTTACTGGCATTACTACCAGACTGAAAAGTATTCGATGTTATGCTCCTGATTTAGAACTACTGTTACAATGGCACCTTCCTAATAGTACCGCATGAACCCTTGTCTGAGCTCTCTCTTCCAGCACTTTCTATTGAAGCATGACTCTTTGCAGGTTTGTAAGGAAGCAATAATGATACTAAAGCTTCACTTTGCAGCAGTAAACAAAAGAGGAGTGGGAAGCAGATGCATTGAGAGCGCTCTTTTCATGGGGGCAGGAGGAGGGGGTGGAAGGTACTTACTGTTGCTTTCTTAACTGTCTGCACTGTCACCATGTGTGTTGAAGAATTGTGCCCTGGTGGCTGAAGTTACCAGTGATGCCATAGTATTTATGTTGAATGGGAGCAATTTGGAGTGGTGCTGTCATGCACACAATAAGATCTTTTCTGCAAGTGGTGCAGTTGGCTGTTCCTTTCAGTTGTGAGCAGTGTTTCAGTATATTGATATGGAGTGATGGAAGTGGTCCTATGTACTAGAACTATTTAATAGTGCTGCTGCAAAAACTTTTTTTTTAGTGGTGTGAAATGACAGTGATGCTTTTAGTCTGCTTATTGTTACTCTTCTGAAATCTTTAGGAGCAGCAGTACTTGAGTAGGATATCAGTTTGACATAAATAACTGCTATGCTATTGCAGTTGTGTGTGAAAGTATGATACTTTGTACAAATTTTAACTTTTTGCAATAAAATATATACACGTTCTTGTATATTTGGCATTGAAGGCTAAATGATATATCCTTGTTAGCTGCATAGAGGACATTGGTTTAAGCAGAATCTGGAAAACACTTTGGACTGACATTTTTCAAATACTAAAGCAAGAAAAATGCTTTTGTCAGTGACACTGCTTTTGTTCTGAGCAGGATTTATTTTTGGACCAATCTTGGTAGTGTGTTAACTGTTAACATCTTACCTGAGACTTGTGTAAAAACTAAATGTTTGAATTGGTGAGGAAGACAGGTAGAGTACTTCTGAGGAGAGAAAGTAAGTTATTGTTTTTTTTTCTTTACACAGCTGATTTCATGTTTGCTATTATTGCTTTTTTAATCTCACTTTTGACAGAAGTAAAAGGGTATTTAGTTTTGTAGACTTGATATTTGGAAGCATTTAATACCTCACAGCTGTTGAACACGACTTACATGAAACACTTTGTTTATCGATGAACTTCAAAAGGTATGTTTTTTTTATATGCATGGAATAACTCTTTAAGGACAGGTTCTAGTTGGTTGTTTATTACGGTTTTGCTAAGGAAGGCTAAGGGCTGGCAGTTTCCACGAGATTATTCGTGTAAATACTGCAAACTAAATGGTGGGTCACTTGTCAACTACTGTATGTGTGTCACTCTAAACTGAGTGTCTGTCTGTGAATGAATGATATGTATTATCAGACAGCTTTGTCCAGTGGAGTGGAGCCTTTGAGTGGGTTATGGAACTGTCTTGAAGTTGGGGGGGGGGGGAAGCGGGGCAAAACCCTAAAACAACACTGGAAGGTGCAGCAAGCACTCAGTCTTCCTGGACCTGCCCCTGCAAATGGCAATGGACAAACACCAGCTCACAAATACTTACCTTATTTTTCATCATTAATGAGAAACTTGGCCTCTCAAAATACTTGTTGGTAGAATGTGTGTTTAAGTGAAGCTTCTGAATGAATGATACGTTAATGGAAAAGTATGAAGAGCTTGTAACTGGATGAGTTAAAGTTAAAAACCATGAATTAACGGGCGAAAGTACAGGTAGCTTACAACCTTCAACGAGGTTCAGTCTTCCAACTGCCCGTGTGCCTTTCACAGCACTCAGTTCTCCAAGCATTGCTCTTTTTCTTCATGGCTCAGCAGACTGTTCTGTCTACTGTTGCATGTAAGTTAACTTCTAATGATACCTTAAGCAAGCTGTCACAACCTTAAGTTGGGACAATGATACTTCTTAGCTGGTATATGGTTAAAGTTTTTTTAACTTAATCCTTCAGTCTCCAAATTGTCACTCTGCTTGCCGTCATATAAATCGTAGAGAAGGGGAGTTAATGCTCGTTTTAACTGACATGCTACTGCATGTACAGTTGCTATTGTTCTTGCATACCTTCTTTTTGCAACACACACAAGGTGAATGATTAAACTCAAAGAATGGGAAATGAGAGCACAGTGGGTCTTTAAAAATAAAATTTAAAAAAGTCTTCAGCAGTTTTGACTCCTCATTTGTTATGTTTCTAGTGTAACCTTTCTGCTCTGGCTTTGGGTATTATTTTGACTGACAGTTTGGTGGGTAAAGAAAATAAAGCAAATGCAAATAGTCTGCACAATACTGTATTTGTGATACCCAGGGTATAGTTGTAGCTTTATTGGTCCACATGAATTGGACATTGGTACGAAATTATGTTTGTAAAACTTGAAAGAACCTGAAGGGTTGAAAGGGGGAAGCCTGGAAGAAGTGGAAACTCTTCAGTGCATGATAGAAGTACTTGTTTTGATTTCTTGCTTTAGCCATATTTTAGCTGAAAAGATCTTCATTTATTTGTGTTCTGTGAATACTTAAAGCATTAAGTTGAATCTAGTTCTAATCAAAGCAAAACAAAAATCTTTAAGGGAAAATAACCTTTTAAAATATACTTCAAAATAAATGAACTCTGATCAGTTAGCTTACATAAAAAATGAGATTACTGCCAAGTATGAATTATGTAAGAACTTCTGTTACTCCCCTAGTAGGGAATATTAAATTTCAGGCCTTAATCTTTTGTTAGAAAAAGGAAAATACGAACGTTTCAGATCAGATGAAACATTCCCAAGTTTACCTTGATGGAGTTTGCTATTGTGAGCTAAAGATCTGTTTTATTTCACTTGCTTTTGATAGTAAAAATTATTTCTTCTGGTATGAGAAATAAAAACAAATTAGTGGAGTGTGGCGAAGATGCTGTTAATTTTTTCAGACTATTATGCTCTTAGAAAGATGAACCACAGAAAATTTTTGTATGAGTGCTGTCTAGGGTAATTCATCTGTTTGAGTGACTAAATGAGAACCCTTCCTCTGTTTTCTTCTGAAGTAAAGTTACCAAGAAAAACAGTAATATTACTGAAGTTTTACTATTTCGACTTTAAGCAAATTATCATGTGGTTATTACTTAGGTGATTAGACTTGGTACTTTTTTCCTTCTAAGATTTATGTTTTTAAGTTTGTATTTAAATCCTTTAGAGGATGGTGAAACTTTGCTGCTAGATGGCTAGCATTTGGTTTGAAGAAGTTACCTGAAAGCTTGTGGAACTCTTCTACCTCTTCCACTTACTCTTTTGGCCTAAACTTTTTGATGTTTGGGGTCATGAGTTGGGTTTGGGGTCATGGGTTGGAGCTAGGACACTTAAATCCGAAGTCTTCATCTTTGCTTTTCCTCCATATGACTCAAAGTTGTTTGCGTAGCTCGACTCAAAGGACTAGATAACCTAAGTTAATAGCATATAAGCATATAATAAGCAGTTCTTGAACTTTGAAACATTGCCTCTTCCAGCATTAATACTAAGCTAGCTTGAGGTTTCATAAAGACTAGTGGTGCTTGGGGTTTCTGTGTAGGTAGGATATAAGCAGTAGAATTTTCTTGGTGACAGCTGAGTCAAAATTGTGTGTTTTATCTAGGGAAGTACAAGTGAGATGTCTCTTGCCTTAGCAACTGTTTATACTATGCTGTTTTAAGTGCTGGTGAGCTCTCGCTTCTGAGTCTGCAGATGGTAATTCTCATTGGTTTTGAAAATAGACATGCAGTATGTGACTTAAGACTTAGATCATACTATATCATAGATAAATTTTTTGTTGTCTAGTCAGAGACTGTATAAGAAACCATTTACTGTGTGCAGCTGAAAGCTGCTTGGAAGACCACTTGTAGCTTATCAATGTGAAACTCATTCCTTTCTCTGACGTCATAGGTTTCCTGTCTCATCTGACTGCCTTCATTGGTACCATGCATTTCTTCATTCCTCTTCAGCTGTTACCTAACAGCTCTCAGTCCTTTGAATTGGTGGATCTGCAGCCAGAAAGTAACTGGCAGGGCTGAGCTTTCCTACCGAGTGGAGCTGGTTGCATTTGCATTCCAAGCATTTGGCTTTCTTATACTGAAGAGCAACATACAGACTTGTAAACATTTGTAACCGGATAAAGTCTTAATGCATGGAATCTTGAGATTGAGTATATATCTGTTTCTGAGAATGTCTTTCACAGGTGGTCTAGTCTTGTGCCTTACTGTGCTAGTTTAATCCTGAAGTGAATAATTCAGTAATCTTGCACACCAAAAAAGTTTTAATTGATCTGCACAGCTCAGGTGTGAGAAGATGTTTTATTCATTTAAAATGACTAAATAATTGCGTGCTTTACGAAATGGTTACACTGGTAATGATTTGTAACTGCACCAGCTGATTTGTTTGAAATACTGCTTTAATGTTAGGGGTTGATATGGAAAGGTTTGAAGCTGTAAAGTAATAGTTGTAAATGGCCCCCAAAGTAAATAATCATTCCACCTACAGGCTTGTATCTGTATCTTGGAATCCTGATAGCTTTCTGTTTTGACTTTCTGCTGACAGGTCACATTTAGGGCAGGCAAAACGTAAGGCACATAGCCCTCCTGAGAGTAGAAAATCTAATTCAAAGACACCCAAAGTGCAGTCTAATACTACTTCTGAGCAGTCCAAGGGACACTTTTCTAAAAGGTAATTGCGCTTCATATTCGTATGTTAACAAGTGTTATCTGCACTTCACAACTGTGTATAATATATCTAGTTATAGAGAGTTCCTATAAAATGTATGACTAATGGATTTTTAACTAATCTAGGTATTGCATTCAGTGATGTGTTTGTGTTTCGCATTCTGCTTGTGTTTTGCTTTTCTAATTCACCAACTAAGAGCATTCCATCAGTGATGGGGAGGAAATGATTTCTGCATAACTAGTCCTGGAATACTTGCAAGGTCTTTCTCCCCTTTTCTCACTTCGTGGTGGGGGAAGATTCCCCAAGGAGTTCTGAGCAATGTCCAATATTAATTGAAATGCGAAATAATCTAAAATATGCCTTGTGTTCAGGGTAATCATCTCAGTGATGCTTTGTCTGCTCTCCACACACTTGTGCTGTGTATGCACTCAAACAGTTTTCTGTCATGTAGAAGTGAATTTTGCCATTTTTGTGATTCGTTATCTTAATTTCAAGATTGATGAGAAACTATCATTAAGAGCCTTTGTTGAACTAGAATCCAGTTATGACTAGTTATGCATTACTGAAAGCTCCTTACTCTCTTGTGGAACTTATATTCTCAAACATTCAGATAATAGCTTTATGGCTTGAATTTTTTTCTTTCTAATGAGTTTGACATATCTATTAAAAAAACCAAATAGTAAAATCTGTCCAAGCTACCTCATATCTGCCTCTTTAAAAAAGCAGTGTACTGCGCTTTTATTTTGTAATTTATTTTAGTTTTCTTGCTAGCAAAGATGTGCAATATGATTGTTCTCATAGAAGCATGTGTTTTTTTTCTCCTTGCAGTGTAAACTTAATATTATCAACAGTGTTTCTTACCTTGTAGTTTCCTTTATTATTAGAGAATGCTGATACTTACCTTGCAAAACTGTTGCAACTGTCAGGTTTCTTGAGTTCAACACTAATGCTGTTCCTGCTTACTTCTGCAGAGGCTGTAGTTCATCTGCTGTTTTAATACCACAACGAGAAGACCCAGAGAGAGTCAATACTTCAGAAAAGCAAAAAACAGGGCAAGTGCCTAAGAAAGACAATTCTCGAGGAGTTAAACGCAGTGCTAGTCCAGATTACAGGAGGACCAATTCTCCTAGCTCTGCTAAAAAACCCAAAGCACTTCAACACGCTGAAACTTCCTTGGAAACTAACAAGCCACATACTAAATCTAAGAGAAGACACTTAGATCAAGAGCAGCCGAAGTCTACACAATTGCCATCAACAAGCAAGGCTCACACCAGAAAGGGTGGAGCTGCTGGTAGCTCCCGAGGTCAGAAAAGGAAAAGGACAGAGAATCTGTCCTGTATAAAGAGTGGTTCAGGAGTTGAATCAACTGGCGCTGAAGAGAAGGCAGCAAAAATCTCCAAGCTGGCTTCAAAATCGGTGACCTCAGCCAAAGCTGGGTGTAGCACCATCACTGATTCTTCTTCTTCAGCTTCCACGTCGTCCTCCTCTTCTGCCGTTGCCTCTGCTTCTACTGTTCCTCAGGGTGCCAGAGTGAAACAGGGAAAGGACCAGAATAAGGCTAGACGTTCCCGTTCTGCATCCAGCCCCAGTCCAAGAAGGAGTAGCAGGGACAAAGAACCAAGTAAAACAGGTGGCTCTTCGAAGTTTGACTGGGCTGCTCGATTCAGCCCAAAAGTCAGTCTCCCTAAAACAAAACTGTCTCTACCAGGCTCTTCCAAGCCAGAGACATCAAAACCTGGACCTTCGGGACTACAGGCTAAACTAGCAAGTAAGTTGCTCTTTTGTGAAAGAGTAAGCATGTATGTTTTAATATCAGGTCTTCTAAACAAATACTTCTATTGTTTTCAGGCTTCTTGGGATCTTCTTGGAGAAATAAACTTTTAGTGTGTTCTACTGAACTTTTAATTAAAGCTGTGACTGAAACTATATACAGCTAAAGGAAATGATTGAAGTACAGTCAGTGTTCTATAAGTTTAAGTTGCTTCTGTCTTGCAAATCAATTTTAAAAATAAAATATATGCAAAATAATTGGATGTTGTGATGGGGACATACAAGTTATAAGACTCTTTTGATTACATTCCTCCTGCCACATTTTTTTCTCATTTTCTTAAGCTTTCTGTTCCAAAGTGGGAATGATAAATGCTGAAAAACAAGTAGATAATATGTGGTTTCTAGTTTCAAGAACAAGAGAATTTTTCCTTACTGTGAGAATCTCTGATGTTACTTTAAGAACAGTAATCTTGTTTAAACCTAGTGTACCTAGTGCATAGGACATGAGTCAATTTCTTTTAAATGGTTGCTACAAAATAAGTCCTCTCTCTGGTGCTGAGTTTGAATATCGGGTGTCGTTCTTGGACATTGTCACTAAGAAATATAGGCTGTCTCCAGGCAGAGCACCTGCTTGCTACTGTGCAGATATGCTTGTAGCTCTGCTGCCTTGAACAAAACTTTTTTGAAATGCATGATGCTGTCTTTGTATACTGTATGATTTACTTAGAGCATGTATTCCCTAGAACTTGATACAAGAAGTTGGATGCCTAAGCTTGCTTACTGTTCCTTTACCTAGACATGATCACAAGTAGCCTGTTCCAACTGAGGCATGTCTATAGCGGATACTAATGCAGAAAATATGTGGAATAAACAAGAGCAACTGGATGTCTTCCTGTATAATCAAAATAGATTTAATTGACCTAACAGGCTTGTTTTGGATAACTTGCATGACTGGAGCATTGATTCTGGAATGACCTAACCTAATTGAGGAAGAATGGTATTGGAAAGAGGGAGAGGAGTTACTTTCTCTACAGCAAGGTTTTATCTAGCTGCTGCATGGTTCTAGACTTACTAAGTGATGAATTCTGGAGTAAAAACTCTGGATTAGCATAGGATGGAGTGAGGGGGAAGTGGGTAGGAATCAGGCAAGAAAGGGACTGACCAGCACGTTCTTAAGTCTGTCCTTGTTACAGGCAACATTTTAGCAGTAAAGAAAAGCAACAAGGAGGAGAAAGAATTTACCTCCAACAAGTGAACAATGAGAAAATGAAGGCAGAGGGTAATTTATTTGACAAGTTACAAAACTTCAGCAAGGAGTGAGACAAGGAAGGGTGGGATAGCACAATGTAAGGGAGGAGGTGGGGGCTGTTGAGTAGCTTGAAAAACAGTGTTGAGAATGTGAGCCTAAACTGTCTCTGCAAAGAATTCACTGAGAAAGCCAGCTTGATGACCTGAAAGTCATCTTTTGCAAAAAAACTTCAGTTGAACTAAGACATTCAAGTATATGTCACAAAACCAAATTGGTATGGACTGTAGCTATGTGTGTGTGTGTATAAAAGTCACTGGTAGGGTGCACAAAGCATGGTGAGAGACATTTCTAGACTCGGTAGAGGTTAAAGTTACTTTCTGTAGATGGCATCCCAGTTTGGGTGCACAAAATACTAACAGGCGATACTAGGAAGTCTGAAATTCTATTTAACTGTAGATTACAGAAATACTTATTCCACTGGTTATTATGTGGAATATCATTGATCAGAGTAAGTGATTATATTCAATATCACTAAGAGCAAGAACTCTACCTACAACAGAAGTGTTAAACTTTATGATATTTTCAAACAGTCTGTCTTTCAAATAGTGCATTAGAGCTCTGACAGCAGATTGAAGTGATCTTGGAATCAGTAGTAACTTGTTAGCTTAGCCCTTTTTTTTAAATAAAAAAAAGGAAAACTAGTCTGTCAAACAGCTTCACTAACTTGAAAAAATTTGGACAAATTTAGAATATTTTAACAAAATACACATTTTTAGACAATGCTGACAAGTGTCAAGAAAATGTTAATAAATAAACCTCCAGGGTAGGTTTTTAAGGAAAAATAGATAAGTTTGAACTTATATTCTGTAGCATAAGGGAGCAGAAATAGGTGATTTTTCACACAAACATTAGGACTTCTGAAGGTTTCTAAAGCAGTAAGGCAAACAGATTAAATTGAGATGCGCAGCCCCTCTGCCTCAAAGCATGTCTTTAGAAGTCATAGTAATCCTGTGTAGAAAGTGAAAGCTAGAACTCAATTGGCCTGTACAGGGGTATAATATGAAACAGGTGTTTCAAGAAGTTAGAAATAGTGCTTATAGAACTAGTGGGAGATAAACAAAAAACAAACATAACTCTGTAAGGAGCTGCAAAAACTTCAGGAAGGATGATGGGAGGAGTGGTCCTAGGAAGAAGAGTGGGAGGAGAGGAGAGATTATTCTGGCCCACATATGGTCAGTCAAGTCTATATAAATACAGTGCTGTTCACTTCTGGGTGTTGCAGTTCAGGAAGCAGAAGAGGAATTACTAGTAGTTGTGATCTTTGAAGGAAAGACTATAAGAGCTGAGCTGGCTTACTCTACTGAAGAGAAAATGAGGAGAGACATGGTTGCTATCTTTGCAGAAGCTTTTTGCACATTGGAGGGGAATACCCTGAGGTTTCTTGTGAAGTCCTCACTGGAAAATTAATGGGTATTAAGTGCAGCCAAGGTGTGAATTTCAGAGTCTTCAGTCTGTATAACTGAGCAGTGACATCACTGAATGACAGCTATAGGATTTGTTGGAAGAGGAAAAACAGGCTAAAGTTCTTCACCTCTGTTTTTGTAGCTAAATATTTCTTAGGGTGGTGGGGAGGAAGCAAGTTTCTTGTCTTGCTGTCTTGATTTGACTATTTTGACATCCCTTTTAAGCTCTGTATTTTGCAAGGGCTTTTTAAATGTTGCAAATCGCATCATCTCCCTGGCTGTGTAATAATATATAATGAAGCTTAATCGAGTCTCCTTTATTAGGGAGGTCTCTACTGACCTCTATGTAGTGTCTTGTGGCCCTTAAGTAGGGAGAAGCTGGCAATGATGGCTGGGACAGTGCTGAGACCAGAGTGACTTAGGGTAGCTGTCTCTGACTGAGAAGACTGTACCTAATACTTTTAAGATTTGGGGGGCTGGAGAGGTTATTGGGAGACTCTGAAAAGCCACGTGAAGGTGAGCATGGAATGTGAGTGGTGAATAATTCCTGGCTTCAAGGGATTTGGCAGAGGTGAGGGAGAAAAGAATCTGAAAATAGCTCTTAATTGGTTTGTTTGGGATTGTGGGCGACAGTGCTGTCTGTGTGATGGTCGTTAGAGCCTTGGAGTTGTGGACTTGAGGTTGAGGAAATAAGATGCCTGGCTTGGAGATACTTGGTTTCATTTTGGTGATGGGCTGTGTGGGGCTGTAATCAAGAGCTGGGGATGACTGGGTTGGTGCTGAGGGAGGGGAGTAGCGGAGTACTAGAATGACAGGAGGTTGTCTTGTCTTCCCCTGCCACACCTAGTTTTATGCTGTCTTTGTTGTGTGAGGAGGAGAGGAGCCAGTTTGAAGTCTAAACTTTCAGCCCTAGCAAGTAAATCTCTACTCTTCTATCTGAACTGCAAATAAAGGGCTTTCCAGGTTACAGACTGTGAAAGTTTGACGAACTCTTGTTTTGGCTTGGGTAATACACAAAGAATTAAAATAAGTGAATGCAGTACAGCTGCATTCAGAACTTGTTTCTTTCATGCAACAAAAAACGCATTTAAAAAAAAGTGCCAGCCAGTAGAAACACTTAAATATGAAGATGTTCCTAAGTTTTCCCTCTGACCCCCCATTTGATCTGTTAGGCTGCGCTGCTTCAGGTTTAGCCTGTTTGGGTCTGTTTTCCTTCAGTCATTAACATGAGTGGCATGCAAATAGGATGATGTCAGGGCGTAAGCAATATATCTGTTTGCCATAAGGAAACATATGCATCTGCTTTAATTCTGAGGCTTACATCTGAAGTCTTTGCAGTTGCTGAATATCAACTGCTTAAACCTAATTTTGTTTTGGTTTCCTGAAAGTCCATCTCTGTTCACAACTCTTACTAGCTCTTTGAAACCCATCTCTTCATAGCTCTGTATATTACAGCAGTCGTGCTGAAGAAACAACTTCTGGAGATAAACATCAAACCAATACCTCTGAAAGCCCTCGCTGTTTGTGTGTGGCAGTACGACTGGTGCCTGCCTTGTTCAGGCAGTCACAGGGCATCTCTAATACCATCTCTTTGAATGCTGGTTGTGCCGTATTTACCAGTGAAGACTTGGGGCTGTCAGTCTCCAGCAGCTTCTGTAGATACATGGCTAACTCTCTCTCAGTTGGGAGGCCATACTGGCTGTGTGTTAAGGGGGAGACAAATTTTGACGACCATGCAAGTGAAAGGAAGAAGGTTCAGTCCTATGCTGAAGAAATTAAGTCGTGAGTTTATGGTATTGGGAAGACTCAGAGGATTTGCATAAGGTGCTGGTGGTAAGATTGACTTAAGAAGCCTGCTTAAACAATGAACTTTGAGGGCAGAGAGTGGTATTGAACAGCAGGAAGGGAACAAGCTCTGAGAAGTCTTTCATTGCTTCCTTTTTAGCCTTTGAAGTTACTAGAGGGAGGTGGAAGCTCATATGTGTCCTGGTAGATACATCAGAGGTAGAGAAATAAAGGCTTGGGAAAAGAGAAACATGCAAAAAGGGCTGACAAATGGAACATTTGTCCTCAGCTGCAGGAGAAATTGAGCTCAGCTCTTCTGGATGCTCAGATGTGATGTATATTGCAGCTCATCCACTAAGCAGTAACTGGGTAACTCGTGATGTTCTCTAAAACCCTCTTACGGAGGTAATTCAGTTTAAAGAGAGAGCTCTTCTAGTCTAACTAGACTTGGTACCTCTTATGGAAAAGGGTACCTATTTCACAGCTTCATTGCTTGACTGCTTCATGGTGTCTGCGTTCATCTGACCTATGTTAAGCAAGCTCAGTTCACCAAACTGGCAGAATGCTAAGGGGACAAGAAAGCATGTCAGGTTTGCACTTTGTGCATCTTGGGGTTGTTCTGGGGACAGTAAGACATGAGTGGGTGTACCATGCTGTTAAACAACAGTAAGCTGTTAAACCAGCTCTGCTGTTTTGTGAAACCTTTTGCCCTTAGCAGAAGCCCTATTTTGATAAAAGCTAAGTCAGTCTTTCTTCCCTTACAGTGGATGTGTAGTGTCTCATTGCTAGCCTATTACTAAGCTGATATGAAGTTACTTAAGACTTAGGTCTGACTACCTGAAAATGAGTACATGCAGATTTGAAGTAACAAGTAGTGCGCTGACATAAAGAATTAAAATGTACTTGTGTATTTTTCCAGTGAACTCTACTGTAACAGGGTGATTAACTTATTCTTCTAAATGTAGAGCGAAAGTACATCTCCCTTAGAATTTCACCATACTGCTAGAGGTATGGAGTAGCCTACTTTTCCATATATGCAATATGAACTCAGAGTGCTAAAGACATTTTATCTGTGGAGTAATACAGTGCTATACCTAGTGTCAGTAAAAGCATGCCTTTTCTATTGTAAAATACAACTAGCTATGAGGAGTTTTGTATCTGTGCACTTCTAGTGCTTGAGAAGCCTAGATAGCTGTAGCATGGGATCCTGCTACAACTGTTTCAAACTGGTTTTGTCTTGTATCTCTATTTTATAGACATCTGCAAGTGTCTTACGTGGTGACTCCAACCCTGTTTACATATAGTATTTCTGTTGTTGTAACTTCAACTTAAATTTTTGGTTTGAAAGCATACGTAGTAGAAATGCCACTGCTTTTTTTGATTATCTGAAGAAGTTACTTATTTTGTCCTATATGTACAGACCATCTGAAAATTCAAGGGTCTGGCCTGCTTCAGTTCAGTGCTTGATGGCTGTTAAATACAGAACCTTATTGTTAAGGTTGCCAAATTTCTGGAGTCATTAAGCCAGGTGTGTAGTAAATACACAAATACCAGGTTAACTTTCATCTGTATGGAACTGAACTGCATCCAGCGTTGTGTTCCTGGGTCAAATACAGTATAGTATTTGAAAGGACAGCCTATTGACCGGGTCAGTAATAGCTTTTGAGATCACTTTTCTGGTAAATATCCAGTCAGAAGTGGCATAGTTATCACTTCATCCTGCAGTACCGCACTTGGCATTCTTGCATTATTTTAGGATGAAGGAAATTGACAGGAGCCAGTTTGATAGGTGCTGTGCTCAAAAACATTGCACATCTGAATGTTTTATTTCTGCTTTGTTGCCAGGAGAGGGAGCAGTGATCTTTCTCATCTTTTCGTCTGCTGTAGTAATAGTATATTTAAATTGAATGTTATGAGGTTCTCTTTGTTTTACTTATTTATTGTGTGTGGGGGTGGGACACAGACTAAAATGTAAAGCTGGGGCTAATCAGGATTTTTAGATTTCAGCACTTTAATTATTAGCCTTCTGGTTTGGAAGCTGTTATGAGATATTTCAGCCTTATAGTAAGCTTGCTCACCATCTGAGAATGTTGTATCACGTGGGTGTTTTGTATGTTTTAAGATTTACCTGATTCTGCAGTGGGATGTGTTATCAGAACAATGGCTTCATAACCTAGAGCAAATTAACATCAGTTGGTTCAGTCTTCAACAGTACAAATACTTCTAAATTAAAAATTTGAACTCCTTTTCCAAAGTTGAGAAGATGCTCTTGCTTATTTGCCTCAAGGAAGGTCTTATGACAGTGTTGAGGGTTGAAGGGATGTAGTTGAAATGGGAGCACGAATAATACATACGAGAGATCTCAACACTGGCAGTACTTGACTCCTGGAGGGAGAGCATGGTTTTGATTTAAGGCAGTTAAGCCATACTAATGTGAATAAAACTGATGAAAAATTATGATTTAGCTAGTGAAGAAGACTAAGTTTATGCTGCACAGGTTTACTCAGAGGTGGAGTAAACAGATGCAACCACCACTGCCCTGGCCCCCAGTGTAATTTCTTTTTCTCTCTTTATCTAAAACTAAAGCATTTTCTTTTAAGTGTTTTGAACACCAACATGTGGAAGTAACAAACTTGTCTCCCATAATGTGATACCTGTTTAACATGAGACACTTATGAACTCTTCCATAACTGTAGTGCATAGCTTAGGAAAAGGCGTCTAGGTAACAACTTGGAGTTTAGTATTACTTAACTGAAAATAATGAGCAAAAGTAAATATCTGAACCTTTCTTTTGTTAGTACAGCAGTTCAGTGTAAGGTAACTGAAAGCTGGTGTGGGCTTATTGTGATTCTTATGTATAAGCTGTTCTTCTACATGAGTTTTCTGTATGCGGAAGTTTCATTTCTTTATACAACTGTTATGTGTTTAAAGACTGATTTACTCTCAATTCTTTACATGTTGCATAGGTCTACGAAAATCTACAAAGAAGCGCAGTGAATCGCCACCTGCTGAGCTCCCCAGTTTGCGGCGGAGCACACGGCAAAAGACCACGGGCTCCTGTGCTAGCACCAGGTAAAACTGAAGATAATGAAACCTGATTACTGCAGTGGGTTGATACTAATGTCACTTTCAGGCATGAGAACTGGCCTTCTCTGTATCTTAATTTGCTACTGTAGAAGTAGCTGTAACTTTTCAGGACGGCTGGATTACTCTGTATACCAGTGTCATGGATAGCACATAGAATTTGTCACCATCAGACCTTCAGTAAGTCACTCAGCTGTGGGGTTGGAGGGAAAGAAACAAAGTCAGTATTACAAATTTAAGTAATCTTTTCCTGAGGGATGTGTTCTTTTTTAAAAAGATACTAAATGCTGAGAGAGTACTAAACTACTGTTCGTCATGAATAATAAGTTAGATTACTATTTTTGAGAATAAAAGGCTTCATAGTACCACACAGGAGTTTGTTTTAATAGTGTACATTGGTGAGCTGACTCAGCTTGTCAGCAGCTGCATCTGAACGATACTACAGATACCCAAGTGCTTAATATACCTTCTGATGGAGGGGGAAGTTAGTCCTGAATTAATAATTTTAAGCGGCTGGTAGATTAAATGGAAGGGGACAGTAAATGTGCCCTGTGATGCAAAAAAAAAAAAATTTTGTAGTTGGACATATTCTGAAGCTAGACTTGCAATGCTTTAACAAGCTTTCCTTTTTTTTTTTTTCTTACACCTATACTACATTTAGTCCTTCCAGCACAACTTCTTTTCTCTTTTCTGTGCCGGAAGAAAAGCTTCTGAAGTCTGATTCTGTTGTCAAGTGTGCATTTGAATTTGACTGTAGGCTTCTATATTTGTAGTGGTGATGACAGTAGTGTTAAAAAAAAAAAAAAAAAAAAAGGCAAATTTAAAAAGGCTCTTGCCCTCAGACTTTTTCTGGCACTGAAAACCAAGATGAGCATCAGAGTTCTTTGTGCTTTCAGTAGTTCAGAACTTCCTTTAAAGATAGTTACTGTGTCATTGCAGTTCTCCAATGTGTATGTGATTTGTAACTAACAGTCACTTTAATCTTGCTGGTTTTGACTGTTATATTTTAGTAGACTGCCTTGTCTTGAAGGTTATAATGTAAGGACCTAGCTGTAATGCATGAGTATAAACAAATCACTGCCATGGTGCAGGTTAAGGAGGGTAAAAAAGGTGGGTAATTTTGAGAAGACTGAGTCTTAAGCAAATCTGTTAGTTTGCTACTTTGTGGTAGTGATCTACATAAATGTTGTGTGGGCTTAAGTAGTTTCACATTAATAAATCTCTTAGTTCATAAGGTCTGAAACTGTTTTTTTGAATCTTTAGTCGGCGAGGCTCTGGCCTGGGCAAAAGAGGAGCAGCTGAAGCTCGCCGACAGGAGAAGATGGCTGATCCTGACAACAACCAGGATGGAGTTAACTCTTCAGCTGCACGTACAGATGAGGCTCCCCAGGGAGCTGCAGGTAGGAAGAAATTCCAACTGAAGCATTTTTTGTATTGTTGGTGCTATAAACTTATTTACATTAAAAAATAATTAAATAGATTAAGTTCTAAGGAGAAATTATTTAAGCTGGTACAGATGGTAAATAATTCTGGAAAGCTTTTGAGTGAGGGGGACCTTTATTTTTGTATGTGATCTCTTGGATATCTGGTACACGTTTCAGTTATGCTTTTTTGTAGTCTCCAAACTATGTCCAAGAAAGTAGACTTTAGTCTTCAGGCATCTACCTTTTTTAAAAAAAAAGAAAAACAAACTTCAGCTGATGCTACGTAAATTACTGTGCTGCCAACTGAAGAGACACCGAACTCTTCAGAATACAGTAGGCATGCATTTATCTGTAAAAGCTCTTTTGTAACTACTCATAAGTATTCTACAAGTTTTCTATTGAAATGGCAAGCGTGTTGCTACTGGAGAAATTTGTAACCAAGTTAAATATTCTTACTTCCACAGTCCTATTCAAAAGTACTTAATTTTATCATCTGGTCCTAATGAGTAGTGAGTTCAAAGGAGCTTTCCAGCCATTGGGCTGGATTGTAGAAAATCTCAAATGTTCTCTGCTTAAAGCTGGCTATATCAGTACCAAAAGTAAAAATTAATGGAAACTAAGTACAGCATAACACCTAAAAAAGGCATAAATTTACTAAGGATACAGGTGAATCTGTCTGAAAGGTAATGTGCTTATCTAGTTGGGGTTTTGTGTTGTGACGTGTGTCGTGTGTGTCGTCGTCGTCCCCCCCCCCATTCCTCTCCAGCTTTTGGAAAGTATTAGATCTGTAGATGGTCTATTTAAAATGACAATCGTACAGAAGTATAATGATGGCAACGTTAAATGCAGAGCACTCTTCTGTTGGGGACGTTTTTCTTGATGTTGGAATTGTTGTGAATTTCGTAGCTTTAAAGGCTCTTTAACTTGCATTAATCTCTATTTTATTTCTTTAGCTTCTAGTTCTGTTGCTGGGGCTGTAGGTATGACAACCTCTGGAGAGAGTGAGTCAGATGATTCTGAGATGGGAAGACTACAAGGTATAAAAGTTATTATGAACTTACCACTTATTTTTTTTGTTCGCAGCCTATAAATAGCCATACCTACCCAAATTCTGTATTAATGTAGTAGGAAGGGTGTATTTTGTTTCTCTGTCTGTAAATGTGTTGCTTTGCTTATTGTAGTTCTGAGGTATGGAGTTACAAGCTTTAATTCACTAAAGATGCAAGAATTTGGAAGTCATGTCTGGAGGGAGTGGCATAGTGTCCTTACTCGTTTACATGATGTGTAATACACTACTGTTGAAGATTTTTCAGGAGGAGGTGTGGGGAGAGAGTAGATAACTCAGTCCTACTAAGTGTGTAAGCTCAAATATGGAAAGAAGTCTTGCAAGGATGTTTTCAGTTGACAGGCCAGGTTAGGCCTGCTGTTACTCTGCCTGCTTCTGGAAAACTTTTTTTTGTGCGCGCTTGTTATTGATACCCATGTAGCTGTGAGCTTTGACGAAACAAAATCTAAATGTTCTTGAAATGCTTGCTTTTGTGCTTGGACTGAAGGATTCAGGTCTCAAAACCTGAGAGTACAGACAGGTAGAAACTCAGTTTCCATGTCCTGCAACTGTTCAGTAATTTTGCTGCTACATTGCAAGGAGTTCCAAGATCATGATCTGCCTTGCAAATAACAGGTTTTGGTTAGGATATTTAATGTGGAAATGAGTGCTGTGTCACTACCAGTTCACTTGCTTATGCATTGAGAGTATTGAACTAATTTTTTTTTTTTTACTATTGGTCATTGTTGTGACGATCAGCAGTAGTCATGCTTGCTACAGTAAAAGTCAGAATCGCCCACTTAGTCTATCTTAAGACTACTGAAAAGTGTTCAAAAACAAAACCAAAAAACCGCTAATATCTAGCAGAGTTCTTCCCTCTCCTGATCATCAACAAATAAAACTGTGAACCTTTTTCAGTGTACTTTTTTTGGATTAATAGTGCCACTCAGTTCCTGAAAATGTGACGATAAGCTTAACCTGTTTAATATAGTTAAGAGTTCAGATTTGAAATTAGTCTGGTGTATCTGCTATTTTAGATCTAGACTTAAAACAGTGTAGTAGACTGTATTTCTTCTGTGAAATAAATAACTCTGGAAACTCAGTGGGTGACTTCTTAAAGGGCATTAATGCTCTGCATACAAAAATTAGTTATTTGTTTCCTAAAGGTCATCTTTTTGGTGTTTTTTGGAAATCAGGGTAGCTGCGGTTGTCTAATCCTGACTCTTCTTTTCCTAAAGTATCAAAATCTAGTAGTCTTAAATTATAGCATCGTGGATTTAAAGCTTTTAAAAATATATAGAAGCTTTGACAATGGCTGTTATCCTCTGTTTGCTTTTAGCTCTATTAGAGGCTAGGGGTCTTCCTCCTCACCTGTTTGGCCCTCTTGGTCCTCGGATGTCGCAGCTCTTCCACAGGACAATTGGAAGTGGAGCTAGTAAGCAAAGTTTGTCTAATTTGACTTAATTCTTTCCACTTCCAGACTCGTAGAATTCAGCCACTAGTAAATTCTAATATTTGTATTAGCTTCACAGTTTAATACAGTATTTTACATGTTGGAGACTTGTATGTCATGATAGTGTTAGACCACTGGTCAACAATATTAATTTGCCTGCCTTCCTATAAGGAAGAGAAATTTGTGTTAGCCATATTTCTTCTCTTTTCTTTTTTGGGGCATCTTAATGTTCCACTCTAGGTGGGGAAGGGAGGGTTCTTGCCTTTTCACCCCTTACTTATTTTTTCTTTTGCATGATGGGCTGCTTAACAAAAGACCTCTCCAACCCCAATGGGTTTTTTGCTAGCTTTAAACGAGTGTTTAAGATAGCTTTAGAACTATTGGATGTCAGTTTTAAGGTGTGTTGCCTATAGTTTCAAAAGTGTCTTAGGTTTCAGACAGAAATTATTTTCTTTAGGCAGTGTGTCAATGAGAACATGGGTCTTCTTCCACTATGTCTGCGTTATGCAGCTGGATAAGATGATTGCCTTCTAGTCCAAGTCTGTTTGGCTCTCCTGGGAAGCCAAAAGGCAGCCTGCAACGCTGCCTGCCAAGAGGAGGATGGGGTCTCATGGATACTCCATGTACTGCTGTCTTACCCAGGGGGTGTTGAA